GACCGGGGCCCACGGGCCGCAGAGCGTGCCCGCACGCACCGCGGCCCCAGGCGCAAGCACGCGCGGCAAGTCCCCCCGCCCCTCCACCGAGGGAGAAGGGCAACCCGACATACCGACACTCGTCCCCCTCCAATCGGCTAAGAAGCGCACGCAAGGCCAACTTCAGGCAGAGAACGCAAACCCCAGGAACCCCCCTCCTGCAAAGAGAGGCAACACCGGAAAGGACAGAGGAGCCACCAAGAGAAAGGGCAACGCCGGAGAGGGGCCCGGCGGCAGCAACAAAAACAACAACAGTGCAGCCGCCGCTAACAAGAACAACAACAGTGCGTCCGGCACCACCAACATCAACAGCAACAAAGCGGACGGCACCAGCTGCAGCAACGCGGTCGGCGCGGCCGCGGCCTACGAAGTAGGGCGTTATGAGGCGGCGATCCCCACCAGCAATCAGTACTCGGGAATGCTCGATGACAGCGCGGGCGCCGGCGACGAGGAACCCCCCCCCCGCGTCCCTGACGGAGAGCCCCGCCCCAATCAACCAGGGCAGTTGAAGAAAAACACAAGTCCCAAACAGCCCCCCACCCCCGACGCCACCGAAGAGGATCATGATCCCGGCGGGGGTCCGAGTGACGGTTCTGGTCCGCCCCTCGGGGCCCAAGGGCCAATTCAACTTGATCAACAAACTGAAAATTGCGAGAGCCCTCACGCTCGCGACCGACGGCAAAGCCCTCGCTACCCGGGTCAACACCCGCAAAAACATCGCGGCGGTGGACCTGGATTGCCCCGAAGCGGCCGAGAAAATGCTCACGGTGAAAACACTGCATAACATCGCGGTCACCACTCACCTGAGCCGGCCCCCGGCCCAGAGCAGGGGAATCGTCCGCCCCCGATTTGAGGCCGAGACAGCCGAGATCGTCCAGGGTATCCAGTCCGCGACCCCCGTCCAGCGAGCCGAGGTCTTCTCGCGGGGACACACCGTCAAACTACACTTCGATGGCCCACGACCCTAGCACGTCGACCTGTGGGGACTGCGACTCCCGGTGTCGGCGGCATATCCCCGTCCGCTGCAGTGCGGCGCCTGCGGCCGGCTTGGCCACACCAGACGAGCCTGCAGAGACAACATCAGCTGTCCGTACTGCTCCGGACGCCACAAGGGGAATGCCTGCCGAAGCACGACCGCGAGGTGCCCCAACTGCGGCGGTGACCACGACGCTTTTCACCGACGGTGTGCGGCATACGTGCGCGCGGCGGCTGAGGCCAGGGAGGCTGAAGACCGAAGAGTCTCTGCCGCCTTGAACGGCAGCCGGGAAGCACGACCTCTCCCCTGGGGCGCTGGGGAGACGGCACCGGCACAAGCAGGGAGAGAGACCAACACCACCAGAGGACAAGGAAACAGCCGGCCGGCTGCGGAGCTCCCCGTCCCCGCACTTCGGGCGCGAGGGTTGGCCCCTCCCCCAGAAACCAATGGCCAATCAGAGGCCGCGCAGGCGCCGTTGATGCGCGCCTCACCCTCTCCCACCAGCGCGCCAGAGAGGCGAGGTCAACGACCCGCGTGGCAGCGCGGCTCCCAACATCTGTTCCCCTCCCCCGCCGACCCGGTGCGCCTGGGAGAAGCAAAACAAACCCCCTCCCCTGCCGAGACAGCGTGCCAGGAGCAACAGGCCTCCTCTCCCTCCAGGACAGCACGCGTCACCACCGCCACACCGGGCGAGAGAGGATTCCCCCACGCACTGCGGGGAAACAAACCCGGCGGCTTCCCGCAAGGGCATAGCGCCCAGCGCGGGGTCAATCAGCCGGGCTCCTCGAACGCGCCACCCCTCCGGGAAGACCACATGCCGGCAGCCCTGCAGGGAGACGTCCCCGGCTTGCGGACCCTTCTGGAGCAACTGATTGGGATTGTTGTCGCCCTCGCGCAACATCTTCCCCAGCAGTCGCTGAGCGACCTCCACAGGGACTGCTCAGCAATAGTTGCGGACGCGGCACCGATCACTCGCTCCAACACCGACCATGGAGGAAAACCGTGAGGATCCCGGGCTCCCTCGCAGAGCTTCCGCGTGCGCCGTGCTGCAGTGGAATTGTAACGGCCTCGGGCGCCGTATCAAGGAGCTACGTAAACATCTCAGGGATGGAAATAACCCTTACGAAGCCCTTGCTATCCAAGAACCAAAGTGCTCGATAACGGACGCCCTAATTTCCGGGTATGTCCCCTACTGCAGCACGCCCGCGCACGCGGGCGCCAACCCACGGGCTATCCTCCTGGTGCGAGACAACATCATCCAAAACGCCTGGGACGTCACCGCCTACGAGGGGCCCGCCGAGATCGCTGGAAATCCGGGGAAAACCACTACACATAGCCTCCGTCTACGTTCCATGCGACGCGAGCTGGAACCCCCGAGACCTTTACCACCTCCGCGCCCGAGTGGGCGGGGACCGCGCCATCATCTGCGGTGACTTCAACGCCCACTCGGAGTCCTGGGGGGACCGGAAAACCACAGCAAGGGGCAAGTGTCTACAGGCAGTGCTCGATGACACCGACCTTCACAACATCACCGGAGGTTTCCCCACATACGTCGGAGCCGGCGTAGTGGGGAGTGTCATCGACCTGACCTTCGTCACCCCTAGTTTAAAGCTATCCCCCCCCCCCCCCCGACAGCTGGGGCAGTGACCACCGGCCTATCGTCATCGGAACGCCCCAAGGTGCCCCCCAGAAAACATGCGAGTGGTAGACTGGGACCGCTACCGAGAACTCATCGCGGAGGGAACCACTGCCGGTCTGCCACTCTCGCATCAACTCATCAGCGAGGCCATGCGAGCGGCGACACGCACGGTCAGGATTCCGTGCACCCGCCCCAACCCTGACCTCCGGTGGCTCAAGCTACGTGCCCGAAGGAGACAAGCACAGCGTCGCTCATGGAAAACCAACCTGCCTGAAGACATCCTGGCTTAAAAACGGTTGGATGCCAAATTCAGGCGCCATGGGCAACGACTGGCCAGGAGACAGTGGCATCTCCTGTGTACCTCCTTCGGGGCCCCGGGGGGAGGGAAGAAGGCGTGGAAAATCGTCAGATCCTTGCGGGGGCTCCCCGTGCCACGCAATCCCGTGCTGTGCCTCGCCGCGGCTCTTGGTCTGCCCCCGACTGCAATGGCCGACCTGCTGGCGGACACCTGGTTCGCGACCCCGTGCCCCCCTGCCCCGGGAGCGTATAAGCAAACCATATCCCGTACAGTGCCTGGCCACACGCCCTTCGGCGCGACGCGAAAGCGGCCATTTCATTGGTTTTGAAAATGTCACGTGACATGACGTCACTTCCGCGCCGTTTGAACGCATTTGAGCGCGTTTTCGTCTTGTCAAGATGGCGTCCGCCGCTGCGCTGGTGGGTGAGACGCACGTTACGCTGCGCCGCTGTAAACACTTCGTTTCACGCGCGTGCCTAGATGACTCGAATGCTTTCAACTTAGCGATGTGAACTCGTTTTTCGGTAAGGTGAACGCCCAGGACTGCACGCCGAGATAATGCCACCGCATACGCGCCGCTGCCGAAGTCGCCCCTACGAGTACGACCACTACGATTGTCGAAGTTCGCCGCTGCACCGATGACTCGAATGCTTTCAACTGAGCGATGTGAACTCGTTTTTCGGTAAGATGAACGCCCAGGACTGCACGCCGAGATAATGCCACCGCATACGCGCCGCTGCCGAAGTCGCCCCTACGATTACGACCACTACGATCGTCGAAGTTCGCCGCTGCACCAATGACTCGAATGCTTTCAACTGAGCGATGTGAACTCATTTTTCGGTAAGATGAACGCCCAGGACTGCACGCCGAGATAATGCCACCGCATACGCGCCACTGCCGAAGTCGCCCCCTACGAGTACGACCACTACGATCGTCGAAGTTCGCCGCTGCACCGTAGCACCAAACGCTAGCAACTAATGCTTTCACCTCAGCGATGTGAACTCGTTTTTCGGTAAGATGAACGCCCAGGACTGCATGCCGATATAATGCTACAGCATACGCGCCGCTGTCGAAGTCGCCCCTACGAGTACGACCCATAACGATCCTTGGAGTTCGCCGCTGCACCGTAGCACCAAATGCTAGCAACTCTTGCGGAGGACGGCTCGCGGACGCAGTGCTTCTTGTACGTGGACATGTTCTCGTTCCGCAAACGCGCCTAATCGTGACACGGGCGCGCTGTGCGCCTGATGTCTACGCGCGTTCCAGTGCGAATTCGGAAAGCGATGGAGGTGTCGTTCTATCACCATCAAAGTACTCGGGCCCCTCAGAATGACTGACACCTTCAGTAAATGTACCACAGTAGGTTGTAGTTGCGCATCTCACTTTACTGCTTTCCATGTTCCTCATGAGAGTAGGCACACATAACATTGCCCTGATCACTCTTCCTACCCGTGAGGTTGAAGTTACTGTGGAGGAAAATGTCAGTTGTCCAGCACCACTAAGACTTCTACGGCGAGGGGGAACAAGCCATGAAGAGGGAATAAGAGCACATACCTCACACACAAGTGAAGCTTTTATTTCAAAACAGGAAATGCTTTCAAGATTAAATGCAGAACAGTACAGTATATAGTAGTGGTTTGAAGGTCCCCATGCTCCAGGCACGTTTTCACATATCAAACACTTTTCAAACTACAGGGTGCAATCGAGAAAAGTAAACCCTTACTTTTGGCCTGCATAGACAAACTATGTATCGCCGAATGCCGAAACTCCACGCGAATGTAACCTTGGCGATCTCAGCAAGATGCCAAAGTTTCAGAAAGTAGCGTCATCGAATTGAATATTTATGCATGATTACCGGAAATTTTCAATGTGAGAATGGAGGCTCGCAGAGCTCGCGATTACATGGAGATGAATGGGAGACGCTACTGGGACGCGACCCCATTTTCCTATTGAGATTTTCAGAAAATTCCTAGTAACTTTCAAATTCAATGACGTCACATTCTGAAACTTTGGCATCTTGCTCAGACTGCTAGGGTTACATTCTGGCGGAGTTTGAGCGTTCTGCTATGCATAGTCTTTTTATGCGGGCCGAAAAGGAGGGTTTACTTTTCTCGATCGGACCCTGTAGCGCAGCAGCATAATATTCTGCGCCTTACTAAGTGCGTCGAAGGGTAACCTCCTCAACTGGCCCATTTTGGGGTGAGAGTATGTTCTCAGACATCTACGGGTTTTCAATGATTATGGAAGTAATCAAGTGGAAACTGCACTGCTTCAAATGTGAGCATAGCCCAGTCACGTCGGTCTTGTTCATTACACGGTCCAGCTCATCCCCACGGCATTGATTAATCTCTAGGTATGTCGGATTGTGTTCCTTCATGACGTCCAGCCACCGCAAGTGGGGCTCTTGTGCCTGCATAAAAGACATTGAAACCACCAAGTTACGTCTAGTCTGATTTGGACCTACGAGAAGTCCACGGCTGTAAGGTCATGCAGCAGCCACTGAGGACTCTCCTCTACATTTTTTTTCTTCATGGTTGCACTTCGCAGTATTCATGCATGGCTTCTCAAGATTACTGTTAAGTAGCACGACTGATTCCAGTCACTTAGAGCTGTTATTCTGCTAAGGCCACAGGCAAAATTAGTCCTGCCAATCGTAGACTGTGAGCAACAGGTGAGGTGAGCAATACCCATATGCTTCACATTAAAATTGGGCTTGTCTCGGCACATTTGGCCATGTTGAAACTGTCATGCCGTAGCCCTGAGCGTCACATGTGTGCCAAGTCATTGAATAAACAGTTTTATTTCTCTACTATGCTAAGTTAAATTCAAAGGACCTCGGTTATTATCCCAGTTAACACTGCGCAAACTTTGTAGGAACAAACGGTCCTGCAGTCCATTTCTGCTTCGGGTAAACAGTTCGCTGTTTACCTTTCAGGTAAACAGCGAACTAAAAAAATTAACGTGCAATTCGCATCAGATAGAAATATGCACGGCTTTAAATGGCTTGGCTGCACTTTTGCCAAATAAAAGTGCACGCTTCGCAGCCCAGAACATTGCATAAGTGCCTCTGTCACAGGTGGCAACTGCATTTTGAGAAACTTGGCTTCCTTAGATGCCAACATCAAGTGACCCTCTGGCCCTTCTCGATATGGTTGTGGGCAGCTGTCAGCCAGCTCCACTCTGCCCGTGATAGTGGCCTGGGAGGCACCTTGTTGCGGGCCATGACTCCTGCAGCACTGCCCTTTCCACAATAGGGTTGTTGATCGTGAAGACCTGTAGTGCCTGGCAAAAAATAATATGCTGCCCACCATTGGAGCAACGAAGAACTGAACTACCATACCGAGTGTACCGAAACATGTCTTCCACACATAGAAATGTTATCAGGAGGCACAAAGACGAGGCAGAAAAGTGTGCGCCGTCATTGGTCGAAACAGTGAATAAAGGCATGTCATCGTGTCTCGGTGGTAAACAAAAGCCTGAGGTGCGTGAAGAGCTGACTGACTTGCTGCATATTCCTTCTCTATACACAGAGATATTATCCTTACATTTGCTCGAGACAAAAGGCTGCCGACATCCATTTATGTACAAGATACCAACCTACAGGAATTGATATCTTGCATTTTTGTACCACAAACATGTTTCTGCCTGAAACATTTCACTTTTATTATCTCGGCTGCTCACACTGCTGGCAAGTGCGCCTTCACTGAGTGCATACAACAAAGCCATGTGTTTTTTTTTGCTTTTTTTTTTTTGAAGCAGCATTGAAATTATAGTCATAGTCTTCATTGGCTTAGGAAAGCCGTGGCACCATGGAAAGGCAACAGCCCGTACCATGAAGGCCCGCGGTGCCGCGTCTAATGAAAATGATCATGTGATGAGTATGTACAAGATCCGAGATAACTCTTACATGCTTCTCACATGACAACTTTATCAGCAGTGTGTCTTGGACAATGGCCTCCAAGGTTTGCAAGTTTGTAGCGTAGAGGGGCGTCCATGTCAATGGACGCCCCTCTACACAAACAGAAAGCTGCAAAATTTGTCCTTTAAAGGCCGATGCTCAACCTTGACGTTCTGCAGGGGCTATAATCCTCTTAGAGTCCTCCTCTCTTAAACTGCGAGGGGGAGCTGCATTGTGTGAAGGTCGAAGGTGGAGAGGATATAGGAAAGGAGGGGGTCCGAAAAAGTGCAAGCTGTACGTCGGCCTGCTGACGTACAGCTTGCACTTTCCACTTTTCCGAACGAGCTTTAAGCTCGTTCCTTTTTGCCGCAAGAAAAAAAAAAAAAAGTCCTAGTACTGTAAGTTGATGATGAGATCATGATACATTGAAATACAAAACAACAAACAATGGAGCGCGTAGCTTTCGGCACATGCTGCGCCAACTGGAAATCGCCTAGGAACTCACACAAATGCTCAGTTGCAGTGAGGGCGCGTGTCCTGCTCCAATATGTTCGACCCTCGCTCGGCACATGCTGAAGTTTCGGTGCTAAGCCGGCATTGCGCAGCTGGAAGCCCTCGCTTAGCTCGTACCAATTAAGATTAAGGACCAAAGCGACACAGGGCAGTCGTGCCTCGGCTTGATTCTGGAGAATGAGCGGCGAGCTTTCCACTTTCAAGTCGATTCAAAACAAGCAGAAGAGAGCCTAGGAATGAGGGTGCTGGGACAGAGGTGCGAAAAGGAAATGGGAGAGAATGTGAGGAACTGTTTGTTAGATGACGTCGCCCGCCCGAGGGTATCTGAGACGACAGTCAAGGGCCTCCACAGTCGTCCCAGCCACGCCTTGAAAGCCTATTTCTTGCATACCGTGAGTCCCGACGGGGAAGAAGAGCGATGCACAGGAGGAAGACGACGAAAAGAATAGAAAAAGAGAAAACACTAAAAGAGGACATGCATCGAGGAAGGCGAAGCTGCCTGCGTTTTGTACAGAATGCAGGCGGAAAGGGCACCCTGGCAAGCCTATCTTCAGAACAATTTGGTTCAGGCCACATGCGTTGTTGTCTCTCCACCTGCCTCGGTGGCTTCTTTTTACAAAGTGTTTGGCACCCACTTTCGCGACTTTTCGGGGTTGGGGGTTGTGGAGGCGCCGCTTAGAAAACAGTGAATTTTACCAACCTACGAAATCAGGACATTTGACGCTTTTCTCAATCTCTTGCAGGATGCGGGACAACGACTTCTAATGCGGGACGGGCGGTCACCCTAAGTAGCTGGAAGCGTAAACGAGAAACATTAGTTTATTTCTGCATCCAAAGCCCCCATGCAAAATAAAGTTCAAATAATGTAGTTGACCCAACTCAGTTGCTTCAACCTTGTAAGAAGTGGCACGCTAGCTTTATTCGTACAGAAGCGAAGAATGGTTTTAGCTAACTCGCCGTTTCTTGGCTAATGATGCTGAGTGTATCATTTCTGAGGCAAACTAACACCTTCACCATGACCGAATAGGGCATATTGCTATGAAATATAGCTAAAGTGGCCGTCATTTATCTGGAGTAAACAAGCCAAGAGAAATAAACACTGCGGGAGTGCTTCAACGCCCCGCGCCCAAGCAGCGTGCTGCTGCTGTGGCTACCGGCTAGCTTGCTCACGCCGCACTAGCCAAGGACCGACAATAATGTCAACAGGGCCTCCGCTTCAAGGGCAATGCTGGCGCAGCGCCGAACCTTTGGATGTGCAAGCGAGAGTTCAGCACATTAGTGCATGAAGCCTCGCATCCACTGCGCATTTTTGTGATTTCGCCGGCAAACGCCTAGTGACACAGCATGTACTGAAAGCCACGCGCTCCGTTGTTCGTATTTCAATGTATCAGGATAGCACAAACTACTAGTTAGAACAAGACTTGGTTGTCAGAGATGGAACGGCATTGCGCACAGGTATGGTCATCTATCACATGAATCGAGAAATTAGTTGCGCTCTGCGGGGGCCAAACATTTTACTACTGTCGTTGAGGTTAGAGTGTAGTGTCTGGCAAGTAGAGAGAAGGGGACAAGTGGGTATGGCTCTCGCATTCTGTGCCACTTACGAATTGACTCCCCAAACACGAGCAGATGGGTTTCGCTGAGAAGTTTGAAAGCTACCGAGTACCCCTCGACGCTCTGTTCACTGTCCATGCGGACAGCGCCAGCCATCATTGCTACTGTGGCGGTGCGCTCAGTTCTGTCGCAAGAGGATGTCCAGGGCCTGCCACATGATAGGGGTCACCACCACAACTGCCGAGCCGGTTTCCCAGCAGCTCACCGTGATGCCGGTCCCTGAAAATCATTGTGTAAAATGAGGCGAGGCTCGATCTAATCACTTTTTTCAAGCAACTGTAACATTAGAATTCGCCAATAATTTGTCCGTTACGACTGTACTATAGCTATTTGCAAGCTAGAAAAAAAGGTGGCGGCTTCCCGCAAGGGGTGTGATGTGCATAAATCTAAAATGGAAATCTTAGCTGGGGTCCTCTATAATGACACATTTCTAGTAGAAACTGCTAAAGACTGCACAGGAACAGCCCCTCTATTTCATGAGGCAACGCGGTAAAATGCGGTGGCCAGCCATGTGACACTAGAAATGGATCGTGGCACTGTAGCAACTTCTAGTACACTTGGAGCCACTGTACTAAGAGTCGACGGAACTGCTAAATTGCGCCGTCCCGAGGACAGATGGTTTAAGGCCTCAACGTCGTGACGGATTTTTGCTGGGCGTCTATGGGCCCACACACTTTTTTGGACATAATTAAAGTTTAAAAAAAAAAAAAAAAAAAAACTTGAAGGTGCCTGAGTGTTTTACAGAATTAATGAAATAGCATCTCTCATGGCCCATCATTTTTGTTTTGATATGTGAAGTATTTTTTTACTGCAAAAATAACCTAATTTCGCCATTTTGACTTGTCTGGTAACAATGACTGTGGTCATCCGTCCCGTTTGCCCCTGCATAAACTTCTCGGCTACGAAGCAGCGACGCGATGACAGTAGTGGACATTCGTCTGTGCACTTTGCTTATGTATTCCTTTAGGCAGTGTCCCCATGGGTGATTCTTTGTGGCAGTTACGATGTTCCGCTCGAAATGTCTGTGGCAATAAAAGGGTGTGAATGCAATAGCAGCTTCATACTTTCGTGGTGCTACACTTTCTCAAGTTGAACATTGTGTACTTTCGTTAATGTTCTCCCTTGAGAGGACATCCCACCACACTCATTCCAACATATGCCTGAGCTTATAATAAATGTGCCTGGAGATTTTTAGCTGGATGTCAGGTGACTAACAACTCAAGTTCATGATCGAGCACGTATGCAGGCAGGCATAAGAGCAGAAGAATGTTTAGCATAGCTAAAAGATGAGGTTTCAGACGGTTACTATATCGCTATCAAGAAAAAAGCATCCCGCGCACTAAAAGGCATTTTTCACTCGTACAGGAATAAGACTAGTAATCGAAGTTTCCAGCTACTTTGTTTTTTAAGTATTGTTGCAATCGAAGTTCGTACCAAGAATCGCTAATTTTTGTACCTGGCTGCTAGTCCTTGAATTCGCCGCTTTTATTTTTTTTTTCACGGTCTCCACTAGTTTTACTGGTTCTCTTGAACTATCGTAGCATGCGGCTGCCGCCAGTAAAACCGAACAGCGCCGTTCCTGTTTTCCTCACTCGCATCACACGACTTCGACGTACGCTTCGACAACATCCATGTTTGTTTACTTTTCGCGAAAAACGCAGCCCACCAAATGCTGGCAACATTGCCATTGCGCATGCAGAAGAACGAGCGATTCGGTTGTTTTACAGCGATAGCTGTTATGGGCTCTTCCCCCCCTTTGGAATGATGGCGTAGGGTGTAGGGCGTAGGGCATTTGGCATCCGTCGTCGATATTGAGGATTGCTCCAAAACATTTTGTTACATTTCGCCGCTGTCAGGAATCGACCCTGGGTCTGCTGCGTGTGAGGCAAGCGCTTTGCCCCTGCACTACTGGCTCCATGGCACACTGCATCAGTAAAGTGTGTGTGGTGAGCACACATGTGCATATGAGTCTCGTGCACCGCCCGGCTACCTCCGTTTTCCAGGGAACGCAGCGGAACACAATCGTCCATGCACGCGAGATGCGTTAAATGGAAAGCAGGTCATGCCTATCATCGACAGTACACGCTCATGACGAAAATACAAAGAAGTAGCTTGAAACAAAACAGCGCCGTAGCACAGACAAAGCTATGAGCTCAAGCCCCAAGCAAACAATAAAAAGAGAAGACCAAACTGGCTAGATGTCAAAACCCTAAGCAAAGTGCACATAAAGGCGCCCTAGTGAGGTGCTAGTGCAGCTGGTATTGGGTGTTTTCATTGGCATAATTTAGTCCACCATTTTATTGTTATTAGCTGTCTGGCGCGTGCCAAATAGAAGCATTTCGATGATGCCTAAGACTATCAAATCCGTAAAGCACAGAAACTTATACCTGCCATTGTGTTACCATTGAACAACGAAATGGCCGATTGACATCACGTGAAAACAACCAACGCCTATTTGGTGCGTTAACCTGCTTAGCCCGGTGGAAACTGTCCTACCCAAATGAGCCACGCCGCGATTCGCAAAAGCGTCAGAAATGAGTTGGAAAAATTTGCGAACTTGGAGTTGCTTGTGAAATAGCCACAGACGTGTACTTATGCAACGCACATTTGATAAATCTGTGTTCCGTCGAAGGGTAGCTTCACTACTCGTGGATCCAGATGAGCAAACGGCGCAAAGCATTCTGAATGCGAACCTGATCATTGAGGGTCTTGTGCTAGCTTGCACTAGCTCGCACTTCAGCATCAAAATCTTTAGTCGCGTGGCGGACAACGCATAAAGCCGAAGGTTGGGGGCCTAAATCCGGACTTCGTATTTCTAAACAGGTTAGTGCCCATGGTGCCACACAGTGGACCACCCCTCGCAACTCACTTTACATATCACAAAGTGTACTGAGTGTTCCCAAAAAGGGTACGTGCAAATGTAGTCATGCCACAGGGTTCACACAGATTATTCACTTAATCGGTCAACACAGGCGTATTACAGGTGTTGACGCGGATGCGCCAACAAAAAACAACGAGAAACAGTCGACTGAATAGCGCGGCGTCATTAACGTTATGCACATAGGGTAACGTTAATTCTTCACAGGAACTGCACCACACCAGAGATCGATTCATCGTAGCTGCGGGAGGGGAAAGAGCCTGATTGCGCTACAAGTGTCTATAGGGTGTTTTCATAAGACTTAAGTCTGTCATTTTGTTAATAGAAGTCGGCGTAATGAGATCTGGAAGCTTCTGCGCACTACGCATCTGAGGGCACGAAATGATTTCTTAGAATGATCGCCTTCGGCACAAGCCATAGAACTCATCACAACAAAATGGCGAACAAAAACACGTAGGTGAATACACCTCATACTCCGAAGATGTATTCAAACAAAAACTACGTCTTTGCCATTTGCTTGTGACTGTGAGAGTGCAGCGAGGGCGCGGCCGTGAGCAACAAGCTCGGACGTTTACAAAATATAGCGTCTACCTGTTAGTCAGGGAAGCATGTCGTTTTTGGCACGACACACGGCATCTCACACTGTTACGATGCAAAAAAAGTTCTATCGAACCGAACAAGAGGTGTTCAATCATGATTTGTATTGAGCTGACCAAACATGTTCGTGTCACACTGACGCGACTACGCCGATCAATAAGGACAAACATAAAGGCAGATTGAACAGCGACGTTAATGAACAGTCAAGAAAATCGGCTGTCATAGCCCATACCGATATTTCCAACGTGTTGAACCTCGGCAGCAGCGAACTTCAAGACTCCAAACTTCTTCTGCCATCTGCACTGCATCTGCCTCCGCCATTTGCCGCCATCCGCCATTCAGGGCGCCGCCGCGCCGCGTCGGCCGCGCCATCACGCGGCTGACGCGGCGATAAGACAATAACTCGAACAGAAAATTTAAAAAAAAGTTATAGGGAAATCGCTATCACTAATTAGGAATTATTTTGAGCATTTCTGTGACAAATTAAGAACGTTAATTATTAGGCTTCAAAGTTTTCTTACTTCCCACCCATCCAACCGACTCAATGAATGTTACTGGTGTAGGAAACGAAACCGAAACCAAGAGCGGCGTCAGAAAAGCCGGATGTCAATCAGCGTGGGGATTAGCCTACCACGCCTACCCTCTCCCTTTCTTTTCCTTGATCCTTTTCACCTTTCAACCCTTTTTTTTTCCCCTGTTGCAACCTGTTGTTTCAAGCTCGACATCGAAGCCACTGGTGTGTTGGTTGAATCATCGTGCTCCTGTTTGAATCGCCGTGCTTTCGTCCACGATTTGACTTTTGCTTGCCAGCGTGGAGTTCACCAAGGTGCGGGTCACGGTGGTGCGGGTACACGTGTTGTGTGGGTACACGTGTTGTGTGTCACTGAATGAACCATCGGCGACGTGTTCTGCGAGACATTTGTAAGCTGGTTGAATCACCGTTACTTTTCCTCTCCAGTATCCTGACCGCTGCGCACTCGTGCACGAGTTGAATGTGCTTTGCATCACTGTTTTTTCGTTCCCCAGAGTGGTGAGCGTCGTGCTTTCATGCGCGAAACGAAAGTGCGACTTGTCTTCTGTGTATCACTGCTACTGAACCGCTGAATTTTTTTAACGATGGACGAGCCTCCTTCGCCGTTCGAGCGGCTGGAGGTAGTGAAGGACGACCTCGCGTCGACGGAAAAGGAATCAGTGTTTCGCGCGAACCTGAACAACGAAGCGGCCGTCGACGAATGGCTGGAGGCCTACAGTCTCCAAACAAACACTTCTTGGATCGTCCAAAAGGTCCAGAAGGAGGGACAACGGTACGTTCATGTCATTCATGCTTTCCGCGATTGAGGACCGCATCGATGATAATTGGAATGCGGCTCTCAACTAACTATATATCCTGAGTCTTTGGCCGTCTCGGCATGCTATTTAGGTTTTCTAAATTCAGAACAGTTATTGAGAAAACAGCGAATGGAAAACACATTCGAAATTTCCCGCGCAGCCGGGTGCCGTGACGTCACGGAGAGGCAGACGTGCAGGTCGAGAAAAAATAGAGCATGCTGCGGATTTGTTTGAACCTGCGTAGTCAGGGTGAAAATGAAATGGCATTTGTTTCACACCACCAAACTTCGTGTAATCAGTTGTCAATAGTCGTGAAATGGAGCGCATAGCCAATGAATGGAAAGCAGAGAAACTTTCCATTGTCGCAGAGCTTTATACACCCCCCCCCCCCAACACACCCCCAGGTTGAGCCCGACCCCCCCCCCAGAATTTTTTGTGCAAAGTACAGACAAGGCTACACCCCCCCCCCCCCAACACACCCCCAGGTTGAGCCCGACCCCCCCCCCCCCCCCTCTCCCGAATTTTTTGTGCAAAGCACAGACAAGGCTACACCTCCCTCCCCCACACACCCCCTACAGCCGCCCAAAAACTTGTGACCCCCCCCCCCCTTGTTGAAAATTCTGGATAAACCCCTGCCAGTGTGTATTTAAGTGTTGTACTTACCATACCCAAATTTCATTAGTGTAGGCTCTCGGCACTTTCCCATGCCATAGAGATATAGCGTTTTTCTTTTCCAGGATTTTAATCCGGGAACCTACTCATGAAATTTGAGTATGATAAATGCACCTCCTAAAGAGACCTTGAGAAGTTTCACTGCTATCCAATCATTGGCCTATTTATACGATCAATTTTACGCCTGAAGAGCGCCCGCGGACACCATTCGAAAAAAACACTCCTCCCACGTGTGAGCCAAATCTGTGAGCTATTCGAGTGAGCCAAATGAACCTCTCCACTTTAAAGCAGCTTTCCTCCTCAAGAATTAACGCTACCCTATCTGCATAGGGTGCTCCCCCTTATTTTGCCGCATTTGTGGTATTTTCAGAATGGTCTTCCACAAGGTCTGGCGCTGCCAGCACCACCCTCGCAACAAGGTGTCCGAGCGCCGCAACGCTGTGTGCATGGCCAGACTCGACGTAAAGATAAAAAAGTTGAGCAAGGGCTCAAAACAGAACGACCCATACCTGCGCAGGGACGTTCCCTTGGCTACTGTCATACGAATAGACACTCAACATTCGCATAATACACATTCAGCAGACGCTCTGCGCCTCCTTCGGGGCACACGTACCACGAGGCAGACGTTTGTGGGCTACTTTAGCGACGGGATGGCAGTCAGCGAGGCACGGAGGCTCCACGAGAGCAAACTCTGCATGGAGGAGAACGGTCCCGAGCTGCTGGCCAACGGCGCCCTCAACCCTCTGGCCAGAACCGTGCAACACTGGCACACTGTGTGGAGGAGCGCCTGCTTCGGTGGTGGCCCCATCGACGCTCTCTCCAAGCTGGAGGAGAAGGCACCCCTCTATGCTGCTCAAGGTATGCTACAAGTTATTACAGTGCCATGGCTTATTTTTGACATCACATGACCTACCAGTGCATCTTTCCACGTCACCTTGTGAAAAGAGAGGTATTGTTCATCTGTGAGCTTCAGCACTTGCCACTAGGCACATGCTATTAGAGAGCAACACCAGTTCACATTCACATTTCTCGGCTCTATGCACATCACATGTAGCTGTGGCAGTAACTACACATTTTTTTTGCTGGGAATTTTAGGGGTACAGAGGTGAGTTGCATCGTAAAGCTCACTTGAGAAAAGTGATTAAAAAGAGCCGTGCCTCAATTTACTTAACAATTTCCAGGCACAAGTGTGACGGTCAGCCGGAGTGACACCAGCAACTGTTGGGCAGTTCTGGTCGTGACCCCCATCATGCGGCGGGCCCAGGCACTGGAGGCAGCGAGGGACATTGTCTTCATAGACTCGACGTCCTCGTGTGACACCACCAAGTGCACCGTGACAGTGGTGCTGGTGGCGACAATGGCTGGCGCCGTCCCCTTAGCAGTCCTCCTGCACAACGAGCAAAGCACGGACGGGTACTCGGCAGCATTCAAGCTCCTCAGCGGGACCCATCCACTCTGCTTTGGGGGTCTATCCGTAAGTAGAAAATAATGTGGAAATTATAGCTTTTCTCCGTGGAAAAAAGCTGGTTGTCATTTACTACACTTGTTTCTGCCTCAAGAACATTAGAACCCTAGTAAAAAGCTTCGGTGTCTGCAGATGCAACAAAATTTCCCCCTTATGTAAAAATTGGCGTTTCATATTTTTAATGTTTAATTTTCTCCAAATTCGAGTGTGTCGTTTCGGTGCCTCACTTTTAACTCCGAAATTCAGTGTTTTCGGTGTAAATTTTTGCGGTCAACCAGGAATTGTGGTTTATCAGGGCCCATGTTGTAAAAGCAAATGCATATTTTTCGCATTTCTAGAAAACACAACACAGCTTCATTCGCAACCCGGGATATAACAAACTAGTTTGCACTGTGCAAGAAATATGTGCAAAGCGTCATCATTCCGTTGACACGGATGCACATGTGTGCCAAGCATTCCACAAACTTCAGGAGGATACTGCTCCAGGCACAAATGCGAGCCAGCATTGCTGACAAAATTGTGCCGTGATGAAGCATGCAATAACTTTTGACGACACTGTTTCAGACAAAAAAATTAGAGGGACACTTGGCCTTAAGGGTGCGACGCGATAGCGCAAGGCCGGGTTGTCAGGGCAGGGGTGGAGGAGGGCGGGAGTGCAGAGGAGGCGGGGAAGGGAGGGCAGGGTGGTGGGGCGGTTGGGGGACTGGAGGGGTTGTAGGGTGGTGGGGGAGGGAAGGTGTGGGGAGCTGCAGGGTCACACCACCCCCCACTGCTACTAAGAGAGGGCAGGGCATGGAAGTCAAGGGGATGGAGGTCAGGAGTCTGGGGAGTGGAGGGGTTGCAGGCGGGAGGGGAAGGAGAGGGGAGTAGTGGGGGAGAGAATGGGAGTTACGGGGGTAAGGAGAGGGAAATCCCATCACTGATTCCCATTTAGCATCCGGGCCACGTGACCCGGGTTTTGAGGAACGGGGAAGGGCCCGCCCACGAGGTCACGCCAGACGCCGTGACCCGGCTCACTCGACACAGGTCACTGACCGGTCACGCCAGTCCAGCCGGGCCACCTAGCATGACCCGGGTCACGCCAGGTGCCATGGCCTGGTTCATGTGACCCGTGTTCCGGGTCACGTGACCCACGAGGTCACGCTGGACGCTGCTGGACTACTACTACGCTGCCTTTTCCGCTAAACGGGAGCCTTACGCTAAGTGGCGGCCCATACTGCAAGTGAGATGACCGGCAGTAGCCGTCACCTCATAGACAGAAGGAGGGCAAGAGGGGGACAAGAGGAGAGCGAGAAGGAGGAGGGGAAGGAGGGTAGACAGAGGGAGGAGGAGGTCAAGAGTAAAGGTAGAAGACCACGAACACACAATAACGCAAGAGAGAGAGAAAACGGGAAGACCAGGACGGAGGGCAGGGGGGACTGAGGATGAGGTGGCTTTGAGTTTGTGAAGGAAGAAGACGATGGAGGGGATAAAGGTGGGGCGGACCAAGGAGGCGGGGAAGCTGGTTAGGGGACGGAGGAAAAAGGTGAGAGGAAAGGAAGAGTGGAGGGAAGAGGAGCCTGAGGGAAGAGAAGGGAGCAAGGTGCGGATGGGAACAATGAAGATGAGGAGGAGCGGCCAAGGGTTCAAGGTCAAAACCAAAGGTCAAAGCCATGAACACAACCACATGACAGATAGAGGGGGAGGGAAGAGTTAAGCGAGGGAATTAAAGCCACGAACACACAACCACATGACAGATAGAGGGGGAGGGAAGAAGAGTGAAGCGAAGGAATCAAAGGTCACAAACATGCAATCATCGGAGGAAGAGATGAGGGGGAGGAGGAGGTAGGGCACAGAGGGGAGATGGGA